AACCCAAAACACCCAGGCTGGGCAATTTAGAGAGACCTTGTTTTAAAATAAAAAAGGGCCAAGGAGGTAGCTCAGTGCAAAGGCCCTGGGTTTAATCTCAAAAAAAAAAAAACATCAGGACAAGAGCTACTGCACTTCCTGTATCAGCCAACTATTGCTGCGTAACAAATCATTCCAAGTTTAGTAGCTTAAACAGCCATCCTTCTTGCACAGAAGTCTCAGGACTGGCAGGGTGCAGCGGCTGATCCCGGCTGGAGCTGCGGATGCCCCCTGGCTCGCCCACACACGGGTCACAGTCGGGCCGGCTGCAGGTGGCCTGTCTCGCTGATGGTCCCACTGCCACTCCTTGGCTGTCTTCTGCAGCTCTCCCCGGCCTCCCTCAAAGCTAACCTTTCCAGGAAGGAGGTCAGGAATGCACGGCATCTTTGTCACAAGCCTGTTTGCATCAAGTTAGCTGCTGTCCCGTCCCCACTGTGATGGTGGTGATGCAGGTTTCACTGCTGGGAAGTCACCCAGGCATTCAGCTAAGCACCCTCGCAGCAGCTTAACTCCGTGAACTCAGGCCGTTCCAAGTCCTGTTCAGAGTCCTGCAGTCAGGGTATTGGCAGAGCTGGGCGCTGGAAACAATCTTAGGGCTCCCCCGTACCCCAGGACTGGGGATTGAAGGAAGCCAGGGCCTCCACCTAAAACCGCAGGCCTTTTTTAACATTTTTTTTTTTTTTTTTTAAAGACAAGGTCTTGCTTAGTTTGTAAATTGCCCGGGTTAGGCTTAAATTTGCAATCCTCCTGCCTCAGCCTCCCAGAATGCCAGGATTACAGCCACGCGCCACCATTCCCAGCTGGCTTTACAACTTATAAATCTAACGCACGTCTACTATTTTCTGTCCTTGTCCTACCTTAAAACGCTGCCTTTTCTTAGTATTTTATTTGAAAAACTTCTACCAACTGTCTTGGTGTACATCAAGCCCTGAGGACATAAATGTGACAGACCTGATACCAGCCTTCCGAACCCGCATCCTGCCAGGTGAGGTGGCCACACCTGCGATCCCAGCCCAAAGAGGCTGAGGCAGGAAGATTGCTGTGAGTTCACGGCCAGCCTAAAGTACATAGCCAGACTCTATTTAAAAAAAAAAAAAAAAAAGAACAAAACAAACAGAGACGCCCTGCAGCCCGACAGGACAGAGGGTTGTGTGCGGAGTCGCTGAGGTGTGGTGAACGTGTTTCTCTCCCCTCTCGCTTATCCCCTGGACTCGCCTGCGCCTAGCTCGCCTTCCTCCTCCGTCTCTCTCTGCCCCCCTCGCTGTCTCTGACCGCTCACGCTATGTCTCTGTGTCCCCTGAGCCCACGTAGACTCTGACTCTGGATTCAGCCCCTCAGCCTTCCCCACTGACGAGGTGAGGGGCCCGACCGACTGGGGCTGGTCTTTCTCCACACCCTTAGAGACCCCCGGGCACCCACGATGCCTGCCTGCACACACGCCTGCACCACCTGCATTTTCCAAACAGGTCTCGGCTCAGGGCAAACAGATGTTCCTCAGGTGGGTGTTTCCCTAAGGCCACAGCGCCCTAGGACGCACGCTCACAGCACTGCTGCTGATGCTTCTGAATTGCAGCCACCTGCCACTTGGGGCAGCCTTCTCCATGGCCCCGGGCTGGGCTTGCTAAACTCAGGCTGAATGCCTGAGGGCCAAGTTTCCCAGGCAGGATAGACTTCTCATGGATTCTTATTGATAGATTTTGGTTTTTGGAGACAGTGTTTCACTATGCAGTTCAGACTGGCCTTGAACTCACAGCGCTCCTCCTGCCTCAGCTTCCCAAGTGCTGGAATTGCACCATCACATCTGGCTTAGCGTGGATTGATCAGTAAGCACCCCTGCTCCCCAGAGCCTGACCTTTGGTTCCTGTCCTTTGCTGACTCCTACGAGCCTGGCCTGTGGTCAGGACGTCCCATGGGAAGAAAAGGACAGCGCGGCACATTCGCAGCGTCCCCAGCACCCGTCCTCACCACTTCCGGCTTGCTCCTGACCCTTGGACTGCACTGGGGCAGGCAGAGCTCCAGGCGCCAGGGGTGCACATGCGCAGTCAGGACCGGTGGGCGAGGACCAGCGCGCATGCGCACAGAGGCTGGGACCCAGGGGTGCTGCGCTCCAGGCCAAGACTGAGGTTTGAGGCCCGCGGAGCCTGTTGGGGGTTTCGGGTCATGCCCGTGCTGCAGGCGCTGCAGAGCCCACCGCCCCTGCTCCCAGGAGGATGCTGCATCGACCGCCGCCCGGCAGCTCGGCAGCCCCGCCTCAGAGTCCGGCACCAGCTGGGCACAGGCCGGCTTGCGCGAGGGCCTGAGTTCGAGCCCAGCACTGGACAAGCAAACTCCAGGGCGGGGCCCGGCGCACAGAGAGAAGTGGCGCGCCCCTGCCCTCTCGGTGGCGCGGAAGCCAGGCTGCAGTCCTGCTGTCGTCACCCTGAGTGCTGGGGAGGACCTGTAGGTATCAAAGGCTCAGCCGGTCATGGTGGCGCACGTCTGTCATCTCAGCACTCAGGAGGCTGAGGCAGGAGGATCCTTGCGAGTTCGAGACCAGCCTGGGCTACAAAGTGAGCTCAAGGCCAGCCTGAACTGCATAGAGAGACCCTGTCTCAAAAAAAAAAAAAAAAAAAAAAAAAAAAAAAAGGAGTCAATGGCCCCCCAATTCGGAAGTTGAGCCTTGCCCCAGGAGACCGTGACGCCCCGAATGTGGTGCCCGACCCAACCGAAATGGAAACAAGTGACATCAACAGGCAGACAGGATTCTGCCTGTGGTGGGCCTGCAGATTGCTCAGACGCTCCCGACCCTCCTGCGAGCAGACTAATTGTTCCTGCCTGGGAAACAAGGGGACGACTCGGAGAGGTTAGGTGACTCTGCAGAGGTCACACAGCCGGAAACTGACCCATGCTGGTTAGATTCAGATTTGGTTAGTTTGGTCTTTCCTTTCTGCCTAAACCTGAGTATAAGTCAAATCTGTGTCTTTTTTTTTTTTTTTTGTCTTTTTGAGGCAAGGCCTCCCTATACAGTTCAGGCTGGCCTTAAACTTACTTTGTAGCCCAGGCTGGCCTCGAACTCGCAGCGATCCTCCAGCCTCAGCCTCCTAAGTGCTGGGATTACAGGCGTGCAGCACCATGCCCAGCTAGATCTGTGTCTTTTTTTTTTTTTTAAATTTTAAAGGTAAAAGAAGGATAACATAGTAATGGGGGGCTTACCAAATGACAGACATAGTGGTAGGAAATTATCAATGGTTATTGTTTTACATATTGTTATCTACAAAATAGTTTCTCAGGAAAACAAATAGACAAATAATAGTTACAGCCAAAAGAGGTAGGAGATTATCAATAGTTGTTGTACTATACTTTGGTATCTTCAAAGTGGCAGCTAAAGAAAATAAATAGAGCTATACATGAGTGACCCATTGAATAATCATTAACTATTCTCAATGGTTGTTGTAGGAAACACATAATAATAAACATACATCCATTTATGAAATAGGATAGGGACATTACAAACTTTACACAGTTATGGATAGATTAGTAGGAAAATATCAATGGCTGCTGTAATACATGGTGCTGTCTTCAAAGTGGTTTCTCAGGAAGACAGAGAAAAGACCTAACAAGTAGTTACAGCCTAAGGGTTGTGAAAAATAGCAGATTACCTCCTTACCAGTGACTCCTGTCGCTGAGGTATGACGGCTGGAAGGAAGGCCAGGATTGAACAGAAGGATCGAGAGACTTGCACCTGTGTCTAGCAACAGGCTGTTTTCTTGTTCCTCCATAGTCATGATTACCGGTAGATCTGTGTCTTATGCCCTGTACCACGCAGCCCCACCAAGCCTACCAAAGTGTCTTACACTAAAAAAGAAAAAAAAAAAATCAAATGAATGAATGATGGACTGAATTGATCACATGCAGGTAGAGGAAACAGGAGATTCTTACTCACTTGGATACAGAAAATATGGAAGAGAACTGAAGTACGTTCTGCTCTGAAGGTTTCTTTATAAGGGAGAGCGGATTCCCAGTACCGGAAAAAAAAACACAACCAAAAAACCAAAACCAAAAAATAAAAGAGAGAGTGGTGCGTCACTTGTCACTCTTCCTTCAGAATGACGCACGCTTGCTCAGCTTCCGAGGCCCCGAGTCTGGTGTGGGCGCAGGCCTCAGGGCCCTTGGCTCTGCACCTGCTGCCGTGGGGCCGGGGTGGTGACCAGGTGAGCTGGGCGCTCTCTGAGCTCCCAGCAGGCTCTGTTCATTCGGTCCTCTCTTTCTGGGAGGCCATTCGGCCTTATTTATTTGTTCCTTTGTTTCAGTACTGGGGATTGAACTCGAGGCCCCGTGCTGAGCTAGAGCCCCAACCTTCTTTTGAGACAGGGCCTCACTAAGTTGTCCATGCTGGGCTCAAACTTGTGACCTTCTTGCCTCAGCCTCCCAGAGTACTGAGATAACAGGTGTGTACCTAGCAACTCACTGCTCTGGGTTTTTCTTAAAACAATGAAAACGGTCTTTTTGTCTATGTCATTATAATATTAGAAACAAATTTCTCTTGTGCAGTTTCAAGTTGCTGTTTTGTTTGTTTTTTTTGTTTGTTTTGGTAGAGGGGATTTAGCGGAGGGCCTTCACAACCAAACTACAGCC